ACTGACAGTATATATAAGGTTAGACCACGTTACTGTACAGATTCTGTTCAATGAGAGAGGGTTAAACGCACGTTTATATTCCTCAGTCAACAGTCACAAAAACAGTTTGATACTTGGTATCAAACTAGGGCTGTACGATATGGTAAAAAAAATCATACTGTGATGATTTGAACTGCTATTGCGGTATGATTGACGATTCGTGGGAATATTAGATCACCATTAGAAGTTTTCCAGAAAGGAAAAGTGCTGCTGTGTCTTAACCTAAAGGAAGACTTTGACTTTTTGGGAAGTACCTTTTTATTTGCTTCCTTGGCAAGAGTAATAAACATACATAGTAAGGTTGATACCACTTGCCTGTCTTTAGTCAACAGCCAGTCAACAGCCCGGTCAATAAATGGTTCCGTACAAAACCAACATAAAACCACACTGTCTGTTTCATTTCCCCTTTGGTTCGGTTTAAACAAACAACATACAGCCTGTTAATAAGAGAGCTATAAAGACGCTGGGACGTGGATTTTGTTACCTTTGAGTCAGGCTAGCTGTTTCCCCCTTTTACCCGTCTTTGTCCTAAGCTAAGCTAACCAGCTGCTGGTGGCATGGATGCATTACTGAACAGAAGAGCCATAATGAATAATAAACCAGTGTTTCTGTTGCTCTACAGCGGGCTCTGGCTCTAAAGCTGCCTCTCTGCACTGGACAGCAGAGCGAGTTGTGAGCATCCTGCTGCTGGCCATGGGGCCCGTAGCCTATTTGAACCCCAGTCCTATGGTGGACTACTCCCTGGCTGCTGCCCTGACCCTGCACGGACACTGGTAAGACCTGAACCTGGTTGTCATACCCATAATTCAGTTGTGATACAGATCATTTCTCACTAATGATGCTTTCCTTCTTCCTTTTTAGTTTTTACATGAACATATTCAGTGTTACACCGTCCATTTCTAACCTACCACTTTTAAATGATTGACTTCCTGTTGGCTTGGCAGGGACCCAGCAAAGACCACATACCAGAGGAAGGCCTAACCAAAAACTGCTCTTTATGCAGCAGAGCATGTGAGCGCAGTGGGAGTGAGAGTTTCCGCTCCTAGCCCACAGAGCCGCGCTCAACTCAGATTTCACCCCGCTCCACTGTATTTAAGTTTGAGCTGAAATCCTGTTTAAGATGTGTGATCCAGCTGTATGCCCCCCGGGGACACAGAGCACACACAGGCGGCGGCAGAGAAGCCCTGCCTGCTCTTTTTTGAATTCATTGTTGCAGGAGAAGCGACACCCCACTTATCCATGAACACATAATTCATGAGGTTATTCTGAAAATCCGCCGTACATGTGATTTAAAGAGAGCAATAGAGCTCACGCATGAATTGACAATGAATCCTGGAGCCATATACGGTCGTACCAGAGCGAGACTGGAGCAGGATGGAGCGGGAGATACGGCGATGCTCCAGCTCTTTTAAATAATCTGCTCTGATATAGAGCACTTACCAGTTTATTAAGAACATAAATCCTACCATCATGAAGGTTAGAGTCTTCAGCTTTTGTTGTTGTTTGACATTTTAGAGAGGTGTTCAAATTCTACTTTATGCTCATTTTGGGGGCTGACTGAATGCTGGCAATATTAGAAACCCCTCTCACTATAAACCAGGGTTTTTGGCTCATTGGCAAATAAGGGGAAACTAAACTGGATTTTTTTTACCGGCCATAAAACTGCCTCATGCATTTTCTGTCTAAAACTTATTACCATTAGTTTGAAGCCTTTATGAACCTTCTGAGCATGGTGGTTCAAAATGGAAGGCAACGCTGCATGTGTAGAAATAAACTCATTCTAAAGTAACAACAACTTAATTATTGTTATTTTCAGGTGTGTAGTAATTACTAATGTAAACATAGTTTTGCATATTATTTAAACATACATTATAATACATGTACACACACACACTGGACCTTTTACACCAGAAATGTGTTGTTGCCACATCTCTAATAACGTGCAGGAAAATCAGATACATTGTGTAGTAAGTTGCTTTCATTTGATTTGCTGCCGTCACAGTTGGTATGGTAAACAATGAGGGTCACATCAGTCTCAGCCGGTACACACTGATGTGGCCGGTAACCTGTTTATTTTTCCCCCAAACCCAAAATGGAGCTGCATTTGGTACTTGGTGGTTGTTCATTTTGGACCCTGATATAAATAAATATTAACTCCAGCCTCAAGAATGACCGGTAAACTGAAGTGACACATAGACTTCACTTATCCTGGGAAAACGCAAATGTGGAGGGTAAATTCCTTCATCACGAGGTCAGGGAGTTGTAGTGGAACTGGATTGGAGCGTTAATTTAGCATCGAGGTTAAGTACAGTCATCCTCTCCTGCGTGGAGACTGTTCAGACTGCGATTGAACAGATTAAGGGCATTTGGGGAGTACGAATGAAAGTTCTTCAAACCCTCCACAAACTGATTTCCCAACCGTTTCTACCCAGTACAAAGATTTAGCTTGTTCGCTGACCCTACCGGACAAACGGCAAACTTTGTGCCACGGAGGGTTATTGGTGGGTGGGGTTGGGGTTTATTCAGCCATCTCGCCGTTAGCTGTCAGCAGCTATTAATTCAGCTCTGGTTAGTTCCGGCTCTGTTTGCTGACTCGAGAAGGTGGCTTTAGCTTAGCGTCACAGCGATGTGCCCGTCCATCAGTTAGAGCGCAGAACGAGCAGCATGGCAGGTGTAGGCCACAAATCCCAGTCATGAGTAGTGAGAAGTCTTGTTAAGCAACAGCTTTCAGGGGCAGGTCCATTAGCTCAAAGGGTCAAGCCACATCCTGTTTGACCAAAACCAGTCCGACAAATGCTCCGATGTCATTTGGCGACGTCATTGCCATGCTTTGAAACATAAGCAAAGTCTGTGCCTAATAGGATTTTATAGCACTAAGGAATGTTGGAACTGAATGCCCACCTGATGAACATTGGTTTCCATCAGTCATTAGGCTTTTTGAGTTATGGTGGAAGAGGGGGCAAAATGGATGGTATACCAAATGTGTTAAATTATTAAACTAAACTAATAATAAAGGCTTATTTTTGTACGTTTCTATTTTACAGAAAGGAAAAAAAAAAATAGAAATTGACCGTAATTGATTTTGACTTGTGTCAGGCACTCCGTAAACTTGCATGCAGTAAATACACTTAGGCAAGGGCAGTACCTGATTTAATATGCGCTTGAACATCAACATATGTGGGGTTTTATTTTGGAAAATAAATAAATTTGCAGCACACAGGGTAAGTCGCTGTATGCGTATACTGGGGAGGAATGGGAACACTTCGGAACTTTCCTGAGAACCCGAATCAAAGTAATTCATCATTCAGCAAAAAAATAACTTAATGGCTAAAACTTCATTTTCCCAAATGATGGTGATACATCGGGAAAGGTGGCCTCTCCGCCTTAACAGCTCCATCTCTGTAAACAGGGGCGTTGGTTTGGCCGTCCTACCCAGTTTGTATGAAGCACACTGAGGCCAGTTCTGAAAACAATCTGTTTCTCTCTTTACCGATTGCATATATTTTTGTCTCGCAGGGGTATCGGGCAGGTGTTAACAGACTACGTTCACGGTGACACAAAGATCAAGATTGCCAATGCAGGTCTCTTCCTCCTGTCCACGGTGACCTTCGCTGGTCTTTGCTACTTCAACTACAACGACGTGGGCATCTGCAAAGCCATCGCCCTGCTCTGGAGCAAATGAATAAAACTGGACTGGGAAACTTGGGAGGACCTAGACACTGGGACGCGAGCGATCTTGTCCTGGCTGATTGTAAAAATTCAAGCTGTTCTATGTAAATTCTTATAAATATATCATTTTGACAATATTACGGTGATTCACAAGTGTGTAATTGTAATTTCGTCGATCAATTCTGGCTCATCTGTTAAGTTCTTGCTCAGTTTAGTTAAAGTAATGATTTTGCAACAAGCATCCATTTTCGAATATGTGGAGACTAGCTTGTTTGTTTTCAGTGTGGACTACGTTCCACTGTAGATCCTGAACAGCAACATGTCCAGTTATTTAAAGTGTCACTACCAGTTCTACAAATAAGAGATATCCAATATACTGAAATGTAATTGTTATATTTACTGTGGACATGCATGTTTTCAACGAAACTGCTACAACTTCTATCAAGTTGTACAGGCTAGTTTGATTTAATTTATTTTTTAAATGGTCCTGGTCCTTTTTGTGGCAGATTTCTTAAATGTGTTTTGTTTCTATCACAATGTGTACATAGTACTTTTTGCTCTGACACTTATCAGGAATAACAGGACAGTACTACAGATCTGAGCAGCGTTCGTAAGAGAAGTGACCCTTCTGGAACCGCAGTCAACTTTCTCATTTCCTGTACTTAGATGTGCTTTGTGCTAGTTGATCTGTGTTCAAAAGGGGAACCGAGGCTTGCTCAATAGTTATTGGAGCACAGAGCAAAAACATGGCCCTCCACTCTATTATTTGTGGAGGGCAACCCCACACTTACAAATTAATGGATACACGGTCCACTTTGTATGTCTGTTATTACTCACCATGTCGCTCAGTTTCGGTGTACTCCAAGGAGCAAATGTTGGAAGCAACTTGAAGTCACAGGTTGTATTGTGAAACCTCTACCCTCAGGTCTGCATGTACTTGCATCGGCCTGTTTAATCCAGGAGATTGCTGCTCTGTCAAAGGTTCATTGAAGTCAAGGGAGGCTACATCTGACCAGAAATTCAAGCCATCCAGTAATACTCAATCTTCCTGTGCATCAGCACAATGGCTAATGAAGTCTAGCAAAGTCTTGTCAGCTAACAGTGTATAATCCACAGCAGGATCTGAAATCAACAGCTGCACATTGCCGTCCTCACTCAAGACAGTAACAGTGACTAATATGAATGCCTCTAACATATTGAGTCATGTTGTACTTCATGTATGGATTACAAACTCCTTCCACTGTGAGTGAGCAAACTGCACATTAAAAAAATACATTTTGAAAATAGTAACAATGTACTTTTATTTAGACCATTTTACAATTATTATAGTTAAGTTTACAACCTCATGGCAAATAAAACAGTCAATTTCAGGCACTGTTCCTGAACCAGTGAGAGCCCGTTTGATAAAATTGTGTCAGGTAATCTAGGAACACTAACTCATGGTATACACACACAGTCCTTGCATGCAGCTATTAGTACCAGCAATTGTCTGTGTACTGCTGGAACAAGTGTTAATCGCTGTAAAAATTGAGTTCTGCATTCAATCTGTTGATGAGAGCTTACAATACGGTTGATCTGTTTGCTTCCTACAGCAATTGTCCATTTGTGATATCTGTTCAATTCATGTTATTTCAGATTATACGCACAAAATGAGATGTGGCAAGGAAAATGTGCTGTTCCTGCCTCAGCAGAATAAAGTTGGCTTTACAGATGTTTTCATATTTTGACAATTCATGGCCTGAAAATATACACAATATATACAATGAAGAATGAATGAAAGAGTAGAAAAGGTATGTAATAGAAAACATAAAAATGAAGAAACATCACAAATGATCTGTACTTTTACACATTGAAATGAGTGATACAAATAGAAAAACTATATATAAATATAAAAAAACTACACCTACAAAAAGATGCATTCACTTTGAGAACCTTGTTGTTTTGTATTATTCGTATAAAAAAAACTGACATGAAGTCTCTGGGAAAAATAACAGTCTTGAAAAGGGACATTTTGAAATAAAAATGCCTATAATTAAATATAAATAAAATCCAATAAAACAAAACTATTCAAATGAATATTGAAATACTATAATATTCACTATAATTCATAATAGTGAATTGAAGCTGAATAATTTTTCCACTTATGTCACAAATGGTTGGTTCATTTAGATGTCTTTATTTAATATTGAAAACGACGGGTTTCCACATGCTCCAAGGTGGTTGTAATTAATTATATTTAAATGATTCAATGAAGGAAAATTTCTTCAACTCAAAACTCTGACACACAAGCTATTTATGAGAATGTCATCCCAGTTGGTTTCTGTCATTAATGTGTCTTTTTGCTATGAAACAGAGTCATTATACTCTACTTACTACTATAAATGACACTATTCTGGCTTTGATAAAGGTCATGGAAACGGTATATTCCGTTTGGATATTCTGAATTAGGCCTTATTCCAGAGGAAGAATTTTCCACTAAGATGTCTAGGATATTATTCAGGTTTTAGGAGCAATCTTTTTTTAGAAAAATACACAGAATTGAGCTTGGACCAATGTTTTTGATCACAAGAGTAAGAACTATATTTGTTCATGAAAAGATATATACACATATACACAGATATTAACACACTTGTTTGATCGTCATAAAAAAAGTACATCTGTACCGGATACTCGTTTCAGAAGAGGACCCGGCTCAACCCCAACGAGGACATTTAGAAATCATTTACACTTTGACTAAATTAATCTCGCAAGGCTCGTCCACTTCCTGTTTTCTTCGCAGGACCAGTTTGTACAAAGTGCCATCATCTATATCCAGCTTCTCAAATGCTAGGAATTTATCCCTGCACCAAGAGGACCGAAGGTTATACTTCATTGTTGACAGCTTCTCCATGTAGAACAGCGCCCTGTGTTTATTTTCATCAATACCTAGTGGAAGATCCTACACGAAAAAACACAAGACAAACCTGATTCAATTGTCTGAATGGAAAAGGAAAAAGAATGGAAAGTCTAAGCAGTATATGAAAAATAAAACCGGGATATCAATTGTGGTATCAAGGTGCAAAGACATAAGTTCTATGCAAAGAAATACACATAGTTTAGCACAGTTCAGCATACCATGCCTCAGAAATAAATAACAAGCTTCTATTATTTGATCAAGATAAAATATGTTTAAAATATATATTTTTGTCAAAGAAAATCTTTTTCAGTCATAATCTGTCTTCAATCTCATTTAGTAAAATAAAAAAAAATAAAAATGAATAAATTGTAAGGGAATCATGAATCCAGAATTGTATTGACGTCACTTGTTTATACCATGGTCTGGGTTAATACTAAATTCTGATTGGTTGCAGGATTTCCATTAAAGTGTAACAACACCCTTCAATTCTGCTAGCTCCCTCCGTCTTAGCAAATTTGAAAAATGCATCAGGCGCGACCCCAACGCCACAGTGACTTTAGGGCGTGGCAAGTGAGTGACAGACTGACCACAGCCACGTAATAAGCAGAAACAGCGAGCTGTTAGTCAGAGCGAGTTTCTGTGGGTACCCATGTTGTAGCTGAGCTAGCGGCGTCAGAGGGGGTCGGCTGTTTGGGTCATAGGATCAAGTACGAAAAAAAAGAGTGCAGTATGTTGAGCCATTTTCAGACCACAACTGCAGATTTTCATACATTTAGTAATGTCAAGTTTTATACCCACGCATTGATTGGGCTTCTTAACCATGCAGGACTGAGATTATCATTAGTAGGGCATGCAGTTTGCGGGTCACTCTTCCTTACGCTCCGCAGATTAGCCCTTCACAGGTCCCGCTCCGCCAGACGGTCAAGCTCACCGACGAACAGCATACGTCGAACAGGGGGCCGATTGTTGCACGCGGGGGGCACAGGAAGAAGGAAAGTGGGCGGCGAAGAAAGAGAGAATGAGGAATTGATACAATGAAAAACGCAACTTGCCACTTCCATGGAGTCTACTCATTGCAAGCCGTCGTGCGGTTATAGTCTATTCTAGCGGGCATATGACGTTTAACTTTGCTCAAATCAGTCATTGTGGGTGATATGCCACTCCCTTCATTCACTCAACTACCACCACTCAAAAGTTGACCATCTCTTACAACTACACGCTCGTTTGTATCAATTCTCTCGCACTCTTCTTTTGTTAGTGTAACCTACCGAAGGAGTCACTGATACCCACTTCATACACCATACGCCTGACTTTTAGGCTGTTACACGTCACAGGTCCACAACAATGCTACAGCGCACAACGTGTAGTGCGCATCGGTTTATCGGCACCCTCAGCATGTGTGCTCGGCCCACCGGTTACAGTCCATGGAAACTGAAGCGGATCAAGCACAACGCTACCGAATAACGGTAGCTTCAGCCTGATGTAAAACTCCTGAAACATACCTAGATCCTCATCGGCTCAAAGAAGCTCACGCTGTCTGGCACAATCAGTATCAACCCATGAGGTTGGTGGTCAGATTTTGCTTACGGAGGAGGTTATTGATGACTTTGCGGGCAAGGAAGGCATAAAATTGCATTGTGAAGTGCAAGTGTGATATTCAGTGTGAAGGTAGAATCAATATTACTTCTAATTCAACTTGGGTGAATTCTTGAACATTCATTTTTTTTTTTTGTATAGTCAGTCTTTTCTGATTAATCAGGTTATATAGCATCCTTTTACACGTATCTAATTTTGCCAGTTCCCGCCCCCGCGGCGGCCCGAGCCCGCGGCGCCCACCGCCCCCCCGCGCCGCCGCCCCCCGGGGCCCCACCAACCGCCGCCCCGCCCCCCCCGCCCCGTCACCCAAGGGCTTCCGGTTGCAGTTTTCAGACAATTCGGAAACCGCGCCCCCGCGCGCTTTCATGATCCACACTCTCCCGAGGCCACCCAGGGTGACCCCACGACCTAATGAAACGCAGCCAACGTATAGTGATTTCAACACGCTCAAGGGAGGTTCTTTACCCGGGTGGCACCCGCTCACCCCTCTTTCTAATCTGTCTAGCCATAATCAATCCCTTTCCACATCTGATTTAATGTGCTCACACTAACCGGCCCTGGCAGACCTACGATCTTTCTAATACAGCGCTCACCGATTGCCGCCGCTTCAGATCAGCTGCTATACCGACGGCTATTGCTCCCCTTCATTACTGTCAGATCGCGCATAATGTATGGACCTGTTGAATTTTGGCTAGCTGTTTTCAACTGTTTAGCTGGAGTCGTTGAACAACATTTCCATTGCATTAGAAACTGATTCTTCGGGTATCTCGTTAAAACCCTCAGGCATTACCCGACAAACACTGAGTCATGCGGCTTGACCGTTTGATGTACAAAAGGCATCGAAAAACAATAAAAAGCATAAAAAAGCCAGTCTGTGACCGCATGGTTGAGAAGCAAGCCAGCGAAAAGAGGGTGTTCATAATCAGGAATCATGTCTCCATCCAGAATAGTTCTTTACATGTGACCAATTCAACCCTTTTTTTGGTTTTAGTTTAATAAAAAAACCACACCCTACAGACTACGACCTCCACATTACACACATTAATGTAATTTACACTCACCATCGGCTTCTAGGACAAATCTGCCATCATCATTGTGGTAAACCATCAGCTTCTTTGCATCTTTATCCTTGCATATATCATGAAATGCTATCCACTGCCTATCCTGTCATCTGTAGCAATCCATTATTGTATACGTCTGGATTGTGGAATACGTTGTCTGAAACACGGAAATACAGGCATACGGCAAGAGGAACATCACGCGATGTCCCAGAAATCGAGGAGGAGTCATTTACCTGTTTTTTTTTTACAGCCAGCCATTTTGGCATGAAATAGGTAGGCGTAAACACAGGTGTTTCCCAATTATTGTCCAGCAGTACTGACTGTAATGTCCATTTATCGGTATTCTTTTTTCCATTATCAGGTAGATCAGTTTTAATGGACAGACAGGACCGCAGTGTGAAGGATTTTACCTGCATCTAGTGGTGAAGTTGCCAGATTGGCACACTAACTGGCATCGCGCTGTAGTTTACAACCTGGGAATGAGTGCTGTCATAGGAGAAACTACTGGTGGCGTCATTCTAACTAAACACATTCCCAATGCTTCCCAATGAAAAACATCTCCTGAATACTTATATTCAATTTCTGATTGTAGGCTTCCCCCTAAATGTTACACAACCTGCACCTTTAAAGAATAATTAAATACATTACAAAAAATAAATAATTATTAATTATCATTATTATTCTTGGCCTCTAACTGCATTGCTTATGTTCATAACATCTTGAATTTCCTCGGATAAATAAATTATCTATCTAGCTGTCCAGATGTCTTCGTAACCAGGACTCCCAATATAAGAAATGGGAAAAGTGCTTTCTGTTACGTTGAGGACTGGATTTTTTCATGTTCCCCTAGTGGCGAGAAAAACATTACTAATTCCAATCCTAATTGAGACAGTCTTGAGGAAAGCTTTAATTTTTTTATTCCTCTTTTCAACAGATCCACACAAACTTCTAACCTCCACCCTTCCTCTCCCCTAAAATCTCCTCGCACTCAGTCGCCAAGGCATATATGTGACTTTGACATAACAATGAGTCGTTATTTTTTCAGTCCCAGGATTTACGAGTTCATCCCAGCAGAAAAAAAAACAGAAGACAGTCTGGTTAAATCTAGTAATGACGCTTTTAACTGCTTCTGACAATGGACTTGTCTCATGTAACCGACATTTGAC